TCTGATACACATTTAATGCCTTGGTAAACTGAACCGACGGGACAGCTATCACATATGTCATGGTCGGGCTCGATGCAAACGTCAGTGTATATCTGATCGAGCCATTGGAAAATCATATCGTTTCTCGCCACATCCTTCCCGAGAAACGAGTGGACTATTTGTATTCGGTCGAAATCGATTTCAGCCTTCGTACGACTGGTCGAGATGGGAACATAAGGAACCGAAGAGAGTCTTCATAATATCGAGATGGGATCCGAAGAAGGCACAAACGAGTTTCGAGTTTCAGGGACAGGTCAAATACCGAGCTTGAAGTCATTATCGAGCTCGAGTCCAAATCGAACTATGATGAGAAGCGATGGAATCGAGCTTAAGGGCTAGAGGCCAACCAATACCGACCCTGAGTCAATATCGAGCTCGAACCCACATCGAGCTCTAAACCTGGAAATCGACCGATACCAAGTCCGGTCAAGATCGAGCCAAGAGACAAGAGCCGTTACAACCGCACTAAGAGAGGGAATCTCGGCGGAAACTAGGGAAAATTTGATTTATCATGGATTTTCCACTATGTATTTTTAATTATATTTAAAGTAGGATTCTCCACTATGTATTTTTAATTATATTTAAAGTAGGATTCCCCACTATAAGAGGGATGACTATTATCTCTGTAAGGGATCGAACCATTGAGGCATTAAGACACCATTACTCAGATACCGTGCATATGCTCCATATTGAGAGATTACCATTTTAAGCTTCATACATTATTTTCATCTTGTTTATTCATAAATTATCCTACCATTTTAACCTTCATCTTGTATTTTCATTCTTGACAGTCAATACTCGACACTTCTGCTCATACGAATTTGTGTCAAGTTATACCACGTATTCTTAGAACTACGTACAAATTCAACTCATTCGTTTTTCGGGTAAACATATGTATTTGCACCTTATACTATAGTACTATACTAACTTAACTGCAGTAAATTAACATGATTAAATACAAAAACTTAATGCGAGTAAATATTTTTCATAAAAAAGTACCACTTCTAATAATCACACAGTGATATCAACTTCAAAAAGAGGGGAGAAATATCATAATATTGTGAGGAAAAGTAAGCAACTAATAGTGAAAAAGCCAAGCAGAATCAAACAATGCACTAACATTTGCTCAGCTTAACAGAGGTAAGAAACATTAATGAAGTTTCTTTAACAGTACAATTGTGATAAAAGCTTTGCAGAAAATGAACAAACAAGAAAGGTAAACAGAAAAAGACTTAAGAAGAGAAACTAAAAGAAATGGCAACTGCCTCTGTGTTTCAATCAATGCAAGAAAGGGACATATCTAAATTTAACTGCTCTTTTAGCTCAATGCTTACATTGTGGAATCTAAAGCTACATTATTCTGATTTAAAAAACAACAGTATAAAATAATGTACTAGTACTAAATGTATATTTCCACGTGGGTTTGTGGGAGAGAGTTGGATATCCCCATTATTTATGCAGCAATTTTGGAAGGCAACCAGAGAATACTATTTAATTAATGGATCTTACCAATCTCTCGGACTCTCGGCAGAACTCAGTGGCAGATTCAGGATTTTAAAATCGTGGGGGCTCGTCGATTAAAATTCTAAAAGAAAAGAAAAAAAGAGTTGAGTTGTGGGTGCTCACTCAATTTTTATGTAAATATTTCTATAATTACCTATGTAAATTTACTAAATATGGTCAAAGGTAATGGGCGCTTTAGCACCCACATATGCCTAAGTAGATCCGCCACTGACAGAGCTACAACTTGCAAAGGATGATCGATTGAATATCTTTCGTCGGAAAATTATACTCTATATAAAGAAGTCAAATATTACTTTTGTACAAATATATTAAATCTTGAACACATAAATTTGTAGTTCCGCGATTGCTTGAACTGATTATTTCTGACATCTTTTTCCAGAAAATTTCTAATCTTTTTCAATCTATTGTGTTTGTTTGGTGGGAAAAATAAAATATCTTGTGTTTGTGAACTCGTAGAAATTCCAAATTAAAAGCAAATTTTGTGGCACTACTATAATAATCTCGATAAAATTTGAACATTTCTTTTTGGCAACTTCATGGATTTTAAGTACAATGAGATTGTTTTAAAGTTATAAGACGAGCTAGTATTCTCCTAGTAAAAACTTGGGGGCATTTGTTGTTGAGGTCACACAACTAACCTACGGACTTCTTGAAGATTTTAGCAGAGACAATAGACTTGGACTGTGGTTGAGGTTTTCAGGGGAAGCCCAAAGAAAATTTTGGATTGGGTCAAGTAGAAATGTTGGTGGACAAATACTTAAGAGAAAAAAGGGAGAATGTCAAATATATGATACTTTTGTGCCATTGTTGATTTTTTGACTCCGATAACAGAAGTTTTGAAAAAATAGTTTAGCATCAAATTTTAGTATGCTCACTATGATTTCATTTCAGCAAGTGATGGTGATTGTTAGAATTTGTAGCAAAATCCCGATGATCACCAAATTTTTTAGCTCATGTTGAAAAAATCTAGTGATCGTCAGGATTTTGTCACAGATCTTGACGGTTCACCAAATATTTTAGCTTTGTGGCTGAATTTAAGGTACTTCAAAATTATGGCGATTGCCAGGATGACTTCCTGAAAATCTTACCAGCGTACTTCAAAATTCTGCCCTGAGGTTATTTTCTCAAGACTTTTCTTAACAAGGTCAAAAATTTAATAAACAGTAGTCCTAAAATCCATCTAGTATAATTTATTAAGAAATTTTCATATCACTTGTATTCAAACGCGCAACGAAGCGAAATACAAGGGTGTTTACAAAGGATACAAGCAACAAATATAACTAAGGCGAAATACAGAAAAATAAAATGTTGTTGTTGAGAGTTTAACCAACTAAGCTACAAGAACTCAAGACCTCCACTAACTAAGTGAGCGCTTTAACCAACTAAGCTACAAGAACTCAAGACCTCCACTAACTAAGTGGGTGCTTTAACCAATTAAGCTACAAGAACTCAAGACCTCCACTAACTAAGTGAGCGCTTTAACCAACTAAGCTACAAGAACTCAAGACCTCCACTAACTAAGTGGACGCTTTAACCAACTAAGCTACAAGAACTCAAGACCTCCACTAACTAAGTGGACGCTTTAACCAACTAAGCTACAAGAACTCAAGACCTCCACTAACTAAGTGGACGCTTTAACCAACTAAGCTACAAGAACTCAAGACCTCCACTAACTAAGTGGACGCTTTAACCAACTAAGCTACAAGAACTCAAGACCTCCACTAACTAAGTGGACGCTTTAACCAACTAAGCTACAAGAACTCAAGACCTCCACTAACTAAGTGGACGCTTTAACCAACTAAGCTACAAGAACTCAAGACCTCCACTAACTAAGTGGACGCTTTAACCAACTAAGCTACAAGAACTTAAGACCTCCACTAACTAAGTGGACGCTTTAACCAACTAAGCTACAAGAACTTAAGACCTCCACTAACTAAGTGGGTGCTTTAACCAACTAAGGTACAAGAACTCAAGACCTCCACTAACTAAGTGGACGCTTTAACCAACTAAGCTACAAGAACTTGTTGTTCTCTTATTTTTTAGAGTTGAACTCAAGACCTCCACTAACTAAATTGGCGCTTTAACCAACTAAGCTACAAGAACTCATGAGTGCTTTAGCTACAAGAACTCAAAACCTCCACTAACTAAGTGGACGCTTTAACCAACTAAACTACAAGAACTTGTTGCTCTCTTGTTTTTGAGAGTTGAACTCAAGACCTCCACTAACTAAATTGGCGCTTTAACCAACTAAGCTACAAGAACTCATGAGTGCTTTAGCTACAAGAACTCAAGACCTCCACTAACTAAGTGGACGCTTTAACCAACTAAGCTACAAGAACTTGTTGCTCTCTTATTTTTTAGAGTTGAACTCAAGACCTCCACTAACTAAATTGGCGCTTTAACCAACTAAGCTACAAGAACTCATGAGTGCTTTAGCTACAAGAACTCAAAACCTCCACTAACTAAGTGGACGCTTTAACCAACTAAACTACAAGAACTTGTTGCTCTCTTGTTTTTGAGAGTTGAACTCAAGACCTCCACTAACTAAATTGGCGCTTTAACCAACTAAGCTACAAGAACTCATGAGTGCTTTAGCTACAAGAACTCAAGACCTCCACTAACTAAGTGGATACTTTAACCAACTAAGCTACAAGAACTTGTTGCTCTCTTGTTTTTGAGAGTTGAACTCAAGACCTCCACTAACTAAATTGGCGCTTTAACCAACTAAGCTACAAGAACTTGTTGCTCTCTTGTTTTTGAGAGTTGAACTCAAGACCTCCACTAACTAAATTGGCGCTTTAACCAACTAAGCTACAAGAGCTTGTTGCTCTCTTGTTTCATTTCAAAACAATTATTCCCTTATTTTATGGATTTGCTATTAAATTCAAATATAGCTATGAATGATAAATTTGCTGTAAGTATAGTTATGAATGATAAATACGATGTAATATTTGATGTATCGCATAATTTTTCCTAATTTATTAGGGAAAAAATGTGCAAAAAATTAAAGAAAATAAAAATACATTTCTGAGTGAATAAAAGGATGACTAATATCTCGAGACTTTTAGTAATGACATCATTTGGATATAATAGAAAAGTGAAATTTAGAAACAATAAAAAAACTTAAACAATAATAAAAGAAAGAAGAAATAGCAAGAAAATATTCTTCAGCTTTAAGGATTTGGCATTTTTGCTTGCTTTACCACAGTCCTCCTTTTCCACAAACTTAAAAATCAGTGAATTCTCATACTTTCTTCCTACTAGATTAAATATCACCAATTAGTTACAAAAATAAAGATTAAATCCCACCAAGGGTGATACGGGAGGTAAATATAATTTCAAAAAAATACCGGGGACACATTTTCTATTAAGTAACAAATTGTGGGCAAATATTTAAATGTAAGAAATCAAATCACCCCCTTTCGTACCTGAAAATGGGTACCCTGCAATCGCAGCTCAAACACTGAAGTCCACCTTCAATTAATAAGCAAAAAGATTTCTCTTTTTATACAAGGTTAGTTCCCCCTCAATGAAATTTCAATTGGGTAACTCAAGAAAATTCTTGAAATGAAGTGTCTAAAACATTTTCGTAAATTTTCAACCTTTCTTGAATTACCCAAAAATACCCACCAAAGAAAAAAATTGGACCCAATTCCATTGCCTCATAGAACTATTTCTGAGCCTAAAGGTCAAGATCTTGATTTTATTAATGTAGCACATAGTCACCTTATACATTCTGATTGGTCTAAGCTTGAGATTTTAGCTTCTGGTTTAACCCCATTTAGAGTAAAGCACATTTTATTGAAAATTCAAAAAGATTATGTTTTGTCCCTTGAATTCTTCAATTGGGTTGAGGTTAAAAACCCTAATTCAAATACCCTTGAGAATCATTCCATTGTTCTTCATGTTCTTACTAAGAATAAGAAGTTTAAATCAGCTGAATCAATTTTGAGGAAGCTTCTTAAATCAGGTTCTGTTGATTTTCCTGCTAAATTATTTGAAGCTGTACTTTTATCGTATCGAATGTGTGATTCTTCGCCACGTGTTTTTGACTCTTTGTTTAAGTGTCATGCTCATTTGAAGAAGTTTAGGAATGCCAGTGATACATTTTGTAGTATGAAGCAATATGGTTTTGTTCCTACTGTTGAGTCTTGCAATGCTTTTATGAGCTCATTGCTTAGTTTGGATAGGACAGATGTTGCATTAGGTTTTTATAAGGAGATGCGTCGGTCAAGGATTTCGCCTAATATTTATACCTTTAACATGGTTATGAGTGCTTTTTGCAAATTGGGAAAACTAGAAAAGGCTGTTGAGGTCTTAAGGGAAATGGAGAACATAAGCTTGAAACCGACTGTTGTGTCTTATAATACTTTGATTGCTGGACACTGTAACCGCGGCCTCTTGAGTGTTGCGTTGAAACTTAAGAGCTCGATGGAGAAGAATGGGGTATGTCCAGATAGTGTTACTTATAATGCTCTTATTCACGGTTTATGTAAGGAAGGGAAATTACATGAAGCAAACAGACTTTTTAGTGAGATGAAGAGAATCAGTGTGGCTCCTAATGTTGTCACGTATAATACATTGATAAATGCATATAGCCAGGTTGGTAATTCTGAAATGGGAAGTCGGCTTTTTGAGGAGATGGCGAACAATGGATTGAAGGGTGATATCTTGACTTACAATGCATTGATTTTGGGACTTTGCAAAGAGGGGAAGACAAAGAAAGCTGCATTTTTGGTCAAAGAACTTGATAAGGCAAACTTGGTTCCTAATTCCTCTACTTTCTCTGCTTTGATTAGTGGACAATGTGCAAGAAGGAATCCTGACCGTGCCTTTCAACTCTATAAAAGCATGGTCAGAGGAGGTTGTCACCCGAATAAGCCAACTTTGACTCTATTAACGTCCACCTTCGTCAAGAATGAGGATTATGATGGAGCGTTGAAAGTCTTGAAAGAGATGGTAGAAATATCTATTACCCCTGATTTGGGTATGTTAACTGAACTATGCAACTCACTTCTCAGATGCGGCAGAGAAGGAACGATCATAAAACTTTTACAAGAACTAGAAGCTAGACGCCTCATGCCTGAAGGTTTTGATAAAACAACAATAATTAGTTCTATGGACTGAAGATATAATGTAAATTTTTTACAAGAAATAGAAGCTAGACGCCTCACGGACAAAGGTTTTGATATAGCAACAGTGATTAGTTCTACGAGAAGATAGAATGTAAGTTGTACAAAACTTTGTTCTCATTATTCCTAACATCTGTAACTTGCCCTTAATTTCTAAAAAAAATCAATTGCTCGCGTACCAACATGCTTTTATTTCATGAGCAAAATAGTTTGCCATATCAGATAATTGAAGCTTTTTTTTTCAAAGATTACTCTCAGCTGTTAAATAATGCTGTACTTCTGAAATGTTACCTGGATAATGAACATCTGATAGAGAGTTGGGATACCTCTAGGAGTCAAACTTCTAGTGCCTTCTTGCTGTTTTCAAAGACATACAAGGTGTTAAGCTTCGCAACTCATTTTATCTCCTGTCTCATGTCCAGCAAATGTTATTGTGCTCAAAATATTTGATTTTGTTGTCTTTGATTTCCACTTGCATTTACGTAGCAGCTTCCTTTTATTTCCTTGAGAAGTCTTGAATTGTAATAGGAACTGGAAATATGGTTTCAGTATTTTCCATTCCTGGAGGTGTTCTTCTCCCATTTTCTTTTTATTTGGTGTGTGGGCCAGCTTACGCGCATCTTGACTAATTCCATGGGATACCTGCTACTTCCTAGCAGCAACAGGTACTAGGTAACTCTATCCACAAGATGAGCTCTGAGCTTGACTCTCTTAGTCTGTACAGGAACAAGGAAACATTTCCGATTCCCAGTATTCAGCATTTCTCTAGCATTTTGGGCCGCCTCCTATTTTCGGAACCTCAACTATAGCCTTGTTTCGTTGGATATCTCGATCGTTTTCACATCTTCCCTTTGCTTCTCCATGGTTAATGATTTTTTAGTGTTTTATTATGTTCTGTTTTGGTGGTCATTTAGGGGCTTGGCATACCATGTTGTAGTTTAATAGTTTTTGTAGTAGGTGCCTTTCTGAGAAAGCTTGGGCAGGATTTTTGCCAGTAGCCAACGTGTTATTTTATCTGCTGTTTGATCAAAAGTTAGTCAGCTTATTTTGGAAATTATTTCATGTCCTGATCCCTAGTTTTTGGCAACGAAAAGTTCAACTTGGTTTCATCTATTTCCATTTATATGTCATATGTAGCTCAAAGTCTCAGCAGCTTTTCGATGAGGGTTGTTTGAGACGTGTATGTAATTTGTTTCCCTTTCTCCCGTTCTCTGTTTTAAGTCGAGCATTGACATATTTATGGTCTATAAGTTTCCCCCAGGGGTGGCCTAGCGGTCGATAGTTGAAGCAACAAGTCAACAACCTCGGAACCAACATTTGAATCCCAACTGAGGCAGCACTAGACGAGATCTTACATCTACCTAAGTCTTGGTATGATATCCGGTACCTGTGTTGGTTGGAGATAGTAGGTATCTAGCGGATTAATCGATACACACACAAGCTTGGCACAAACACTTTGTTTTATCTTAGGAAGCAAAGTTGGATATTATAATAAGGATTAATATATTCCAAATTTTGCCTTGTCCTGATTTCTGAGAGCTCAACATAAATTAACTGCAGCTGTTTTACTCGTTTGACCATTTGCTAAATTGGTGTTGCCTCACTTATTTGAGTGCATCATTATTGTATCCTATATCTGAAACTTTTGATGCTGATTTAGAGACATGTCGAAATGATAACGAGATTCAAGTAACTTTTTTTCACGAAGCTGCTGTAGTAAATCTGAATCATTCTGGTTTAATTTTATAGTTGGTTGTTAGTTGTCACATTGAATATTTTGAGGTGCTTTTGTAATTGGAGTATTTCAATTTTACTCCCTCTGTTCTGTTTAAAAAGAATATTGCATAATTTTATATTTGAAAATATTTTAAATTTAAGCATTCATTCTACCTTTAATGATATATTTTTAAAGCCGCAAAAATTTCATGATTAGTTTAAGATCACAAGTTCCAAAAAGAAAAAATCTATCATATAACTACTTTCTTTATTCATTCACTAATACCTACGATCGAAATAGAACCGAACTTTGTTAGTTATGTACCGATAGCGTTCACCCGCCTTTCAAATGGTGAATCACCGAAGCCGAATCTATCTTGCGCAGACGAGAGATAATGATCGAAGTCAGACTTGAGTATGAGACGAGAATGAGATTGATCGAAAACATAGTCTGAATTGGATGTGTGAAACATGCCGCCAGCTTTTCATGCTGAGCCTGGATCGAACTCTTCATGCAACGAATAGAATACGCTTTTTTCTTTGAAGGACGTTAATCAATAGTTCAGCCTTGCTTCTTTTCTTTGAGTTTTTTTTATAAAATTATTTTATTAGATAACTTTGTGGCTAGTCAAACACCATTAAATAAAATAAAATAGATGGAGTAATAATTTTAACGCAGAAGTGTTGATCTTGATTTCTACTTCTATATGCGAGGATAAAATAAAATTTCAAAGATATTGAAGGAGAGAAAGTTATCAAGTTTCTGAAAATGGAAATTCGTAAATAATTTGTCTGTTAATCTAACTAGTTAATCTACTATTCCCATTAAGGAATTTATTAACGGTTTAAAAAACTTGCTATAAAAAAAATTGTTGAATTGGTAACTAAGAAATATTAGAATCCGTTAAGACGGATCAATAGGCAAATGTGTGCTAATAACGAAGAATTTATTAATACACCATGGCAAAATGATTTTAGTAGATGACTTAGTTTTATGCTAATGAGCCATTAGGAAAATAACTAAATAATCGATACTTTAACTAAATCAAAGGTTGATATAAACTACTTAACGAATATATATGATACTACACAAATATAATATGTCGTACCTTTTAATTATCAGAAGTCAAAAATCCAAACATAGGAATAAAAATAAATTAAAGGCAACAGTCGTACATCAACAAATTCACATCAAAATTAGATTGGCAGAAAAATTAAGGACAATGTTAAGGGATCAATGTACTAGTTCATACAAATAAATTAAATGTTTTGACCCTTGTAATCGGAATTAATCATTTTTTATAGGATAAAAACATTTTCTTAATTTCAACCAACTATATAAACATTAAATAAGTATACTTTATTCCCCAAATCTGGGAATTTTCCCAATAATCTATCGCACTTATCTGTCCGATAGCCGGAGTTGTGACACACTAGAGTACAGTGACGACTGGATCTCCACCTTTAAGTTCTATTAGCAAGTCAATTGAAGCTCTATTTTTCAAATTCGGAGCTCCAATTAGGAAAATATGGGTCGTTCTCGGGCCGTACATCAGTCCGCCGATGATGATCCAAGTCAGAGGTCAGTTAAACTATAATTTGCTTATTCAATTTGATTAACGATTTCTTTTTTAAATTTTACTCTGCTTTTATAGTATTTGCACCATATTTAGGTATTTCCAAATAGTTCTGATGTTTTGTGCATGATACTTGAACATGGTTAAGCTACAACTCCATTATTTATGTTAGTATATTGAGCAACCTAAGAGTAGGATACTGACTAAGTGAAAAAGCAAAGAAGAAAGTTATCGTTGTTAGGTTATATAACAAGAGAAGAGTTGGAGATACAAAGGAAAATGAGAGATAGGCTGGAAGTCTTAGTTTGAACTTTGAATTGGCTCGATTAATCAATGATGATATAGCATTGTTGAATTATAATATTAGATACTGATTTTATGAGGAGAAAAGAGAGGTTGAGTTGCAGGTCTTTGATATGGAATACGAGGGTCTTGTTTCTCAATCTCTGTTAATATGAGAAGGAGCTTACTCAAATTGCATAGGATGTAGTGGCATGTTCTAACTCAGCAGAAGAATCAAGTTTAAATTTCTTTAGCTCTAGCAGAACCCAATAAAAAGCCCTTGATTGATAATTTAATATCTATTTGAGGTTTTCCTTTTCCTTACATTTTTTGTTACTTTTGATATAAAAGCGTGTATTAGCTGCTATTCAAATTGCGTTTTCTTGAGAGGATAGTCCCATGATTTGTTTGCCAATGCGATTCCTAAACAACAGCTATGTCTCAGTCCCAAACAAGTAGGGATCGGCTATCTGAATCCTGACTGACCATGTTTCTCCATTTAAACTCATTCATGCCATAATCATTCATAAAAGTACAAGTAAAAAAATAAGTTAAATATATATAAATAATAGTAAAAAATAATATTAGAAGTTTTCTATATTTTTATTGCCATATAAACCTATGATAAAGATGCTTCTAGAAAAGCATCAGACCTAAATAATGTACTAACATGACTAATACATTTTCCTACTAAGTGCTATTACTGATACATGGATTCCAAGAAATTGTAGGTGTTTCGAAATAACTTCCTTCCAAATGATTTTAGGTCTACCTCGTCCCATTTTAGCACCTTCACCCACCATGATTTCACACCTAAATACTGATGCATCTAGAGGTCGACCCAGAACACGACCAGACCATTTTAAGCGACCTTATCTCATTTTATTCTCAATGCTTGCTACTTGCACCTTGCCAATGTGATCCTAGTTGTTAGAAAAAAGGAAATTGTTTTTAATGAGATACAATAGACCCTTGTGGTCCGTCTCTTCCCCGGACCCCGCGCATAGCGGGAGCTTAGTGCACCGAGCTGCCCTTTTAGACGTGTCATTCTCACTTGCATTAGTGTTTTGTTTCTTAACATCTTAGAGTTAAACTTTAAAAAGTTAACCAAGCTATTAAGCACATTACTTTTTCTTTTGTTTTCCTTTTCTTCTCCTGGGTCAAACTGACTAATTTTTTGTGTGAATTCGAACATAGAATTTTCAATCTTTTTGAAATAAAATTTACATACTTAGAAACTACATATAAAATGATATAAGTCACAATAGTTAACAGTTCAAATTAAAAAGTATTTACAAAAACCATGGTCAAAGAAAATCTTGTTTGACTCCTCGGATAGTAATAGGTTCACATAAACTGAAATGGAGGGAGTATTACAGAGCAGCAGCGGTGATAGCCGATGCTTGGGCTCCATTGCCAAATGGCTTACTTAACCTTTTGCTCGGATATAGATCCTTACCTTCTGGTCTAGAACATTGCTTTTCACAAGTGCATAGACAGTAAATTTTCTTGCATTACATATCATGTACGGATATGTGTCTATGTAAACGTAGTTCTGTACTTATCATTGCTTCATGCAGAGCTGTATTTAATTCGATTCTATGGTTTATTGGCCTGATCTCATAACTTACTTTTCCCTTGCCCCCTTTAACTCTTTGGTAGGTCAAAGAGAAAAAGGACAGTACCAAATGTGGAGAATTTTGATACTGCAGCTGCTGGTATGGTCTTTGAGATTATACATGGGTAATTAGCAATTTAGCATCCTGGGGAATGAAAAATTTACAAAAGCAGGATCTCCCCTCAGTTTAAACAAACATGCATTTGACTTGTAAACTAGACACATTCAAACTATTTACTCCGTCTATCTAAAAAAGAAAGTCTTACTTTTAAGAGGAAAGTGTTGCTACATTTTGTATGAAGCAAAAAACTTTCATAGAACCCCCTTTTCTCTTCCCGAGGAAAGTCTTGCAACATTTGTGTGTCACAAATTTTAATTCATGGGGAATTCCCTTTTTCTCTTTTTCTCTTTTCAATAAAACTTTTTGTTTTATTTTTCTCTCAAAGAAGCACAAGATTCAACATAAGACCAATCATGTTTCTGCAACGAACACTAAACTGTTTAAATTTTAACTGTTTATCATAAATAAATAATTAAGACTATAAATTTAACTCTTCTCATACTAAGGTGCCAAGTCAGATTTCACATGGAGAGAGAGTACATAATTCTTTATTCATCACAGTTTGTGACCATGTTTGTGGAACAAAATTTTATTTTTACCTTCTATTTCATGTTTCTTATTTTAATCTTGTTCATGGCGGAACAGACCGTGCCATAAATTGTTCTATTTCTTTTTCTTACTTGTGAAAAAAAAAAAGAACAATTTATGAGTCTTCACTGTAAGTGTGCTCCCACGACATAGACATGCATTGTAACTACTCCAATTTCTGGAGCCTTGTTTGTTATGCCTGATTTTCTACTCAGATGCTAATCACGAATTAATTCCTGTTTTAAGTTGAACCTTATAATTTGTCTTGTCTCTATATATGAAGGCCAAGTATTGAGCGACGGGAAAAAAGCCTTGTACCATTGCAATTATTGCAATAAAGACATCTCTGGAAGGATTCGAATTAAATGTGCTGTGTGCTCTGACTTTGATCTTTGTGTGGAATGCTTTTCTGTTGGAGCAGAAGTGCAACCTCACAAAAGCAATCATCTGTATAGGGTTATGGTTAGTGACTTCATCTAATTGAATTTCTCATCAAAATGGTGGACTACTTCAGTGAAGTACTTCTCTTATTGTGTTATTCGTATCTATCAACTGAACAGAAATAATTTAAGTCGGTGAAAATGCTTGAAGCAGTCTTTAATTTGCAGCGCTAATTCGGAGTATATTTTGTTCAAAGCTCATGCTCCTCATTGATCTCACATTGCTGAAGCAGATATCATCATTTTGTGTATATCCTAATTGCTTTAGACAAGGCTCTGGAAAATATTATGGAAGTTGTTGAAGCTGCTGAGTAGATAACATCTTAAAGACCATTTTAAAAAGGAAAAAAATTAAAAAGATTGTGCAAGGTGAACTCTATACCTGGTTTTATATCTGAAAGTTGACCACTCAGCTAATATGAAAGGGTTGTGCAGTTTTCCTGGCTGCTTGATGGTCAGTCATAGTCGTAAGATATCAATAGTTAATTATCTCCATATCTGCTAGACAAGATGGCTTTTGATCTTATCCTGTTCGTCAAAGCGTGCTGCTGTCTGTTGAAACACTATTCATGATTTCATTACAAGCTTCTGGATATAATCCGTTACCTAGTTACCGATAGTGGGCTAAGTTGGATTCATAATGAGATGGAAGATAATAGATAGAAATGATTATGCTCATGAAAAAGGTTGTTCTAACTGCAATAATGAGATGCTTATGTCCAGGAGATGATTTTCATGTGATGGAAGTAAGTTGGATGCTCATATTGATTTTTGATTCTATGTTTAGAGAGGTAGAGTTGAAGTTTACACCTTTTATGTGGATGCTAAGCAATAGAGATTGATATGGTTACTTTGTTGAACTTGTCAAACCTAAAAGCATGGGTTTTGCTAATATGCCCATTGTGCTCTCAAAATAGGAACAAGGTTCTTATGAAGCTGTTGCTCAAGAGTGAAAAGCCAGCTTATAATCATGCTTAATTACAAATAATGGGATTAGTAGGTGGTTGTGTGTTCAGTGGATATCAACTTCCTGTCTTAACTGATCAATGATCTTAACCGAAGCAATTTTTCTCACACGTTTACTTTGTGGGAGGAGGTCCGGCTCTTTTGTGCTTCTACTTTACATAGTTATATTCTCACCCTTTTTATAACCTCTTATTTTCTATTGAAATATATGTCTGGGCTATGTACTCAAGGCCTTCTTCTATCAACAGGATAACCTGTCATTTCCTCTTATATGTGCTGACTGGAATGCAGATGAGGAAATGTTACTTCTAGAGGTAGTTTTCCATCTTTCTGCTTGTGTTGAATACTTCAATTATCATTTATTTCTCTACTCTATATTTTGTTTACAAGTTCTCTTAATGTATCTTAATGATCTAGATCTTATACATAATTTTTGGAGGATTGCAGATCTCTTGCTTTTAGTTTATCACCTGTCCTCTTTTTCTTTTGCAGGGCATGGAAATGTACGGATTGGCAAACTGGGCTGAAGTTGCAGAACATGTTGGAACAAAAAGTAAATTGCAGTGTATTGACCATTATAATACCATATATATTAATTCTCCTTGTTTTCCGCTTCCGGTAAGAGATCCTCGTAACACAGTGCAGCATTACATCAAAGGCTTCAATATGAAAAGCTGAATCTACGTTCAATCTCTCTAGGACATGTCTCACGTTATGGGAAAGAGCAGAGAGGAACTTCTTGCCATGGCCAAGGAGCAAGGTAAACTCAAAAGCTTTTTTTGTTCGAGATGGATAAACTCTAGAGCTTTTCTTTCTCGTATTTTCATTTTGCTTTTTATATCTCTTAGTTGAGGTATGCAGAAGCTGGCCGGACCCACTATCAGTAAAAAAGGTCTTAAGCTTAAAGTCAGATTGGGACTAACTTGAATGAATGGAGCTAAGGGTGTTCGTCCCTCGGTTTAGCTTGGTTTTTAGACATTTTGGTTCGATATTTTCGGTATTCGGTTTCTTAAAATGCTATACCAATACCATACCTGATTAAATTCGGTATGGTTCGACTTTTCTCCTTTCAGTTTGTTAATTTCGGTTTGTTCAGCTTGGATAGAGGATTGTAACTCCGTTTTTTGTCTTTAAGAGGTAAAAAAAATCATGGATAAAACAATAAATCAAAGAAAGTGTCTTCTAGAACTTCCAATTTCTAGAAAGAGCGAGTTAGAAGAAAGGTATGTGTGATCTTATATGAACTTTTGAACTGGACTACCATCAGTTTGCTACCATCAGTTTTGAAATAAATATAGCTGGGAAACTGAAATTGCCGATTTCTGATTTCTAAAGCCTAGGTGGGAAAGCTGGAAATGTAAGTAGGTAACAAAGGAAAAAGGGGGAAAGGTAAAAAAGTAAACCCTATAAGGATAAAGGAAGTAAAATTTTAGGGCTTTTATATTTATATATAATCTAAAATATGTGTATTGTGTAAGTTAGTATGTATTTCAGTATGGTATCAGTATTTTGGTATTTTTTTTCGAAATACCGAACGCCATACCAAATACTGAATTTTTTAAACACTTGAACCAAATACCATACCGGATACCGAAATTCGGTATATGCTAAATGATGCACACCCATAGACTGGGCACTGACACTACAATGGTTTTGCCTCTTAGTTATCTGCTTCGTATGCTTTCTTGTCAGTGCATCAGTTTACTGTGTTCACTGCATAACACAATCAAGCTGTGCTTTCCTCCTACCTCACGTTGGACAGGATGATGTTTACTTCAATTGGCTGGTTCGGCCATTAGTCAAGAGATTGTGTCTGTATTGGGTTATAAACAGAATTTTGGCAGGTTTTTCTGGGACCCTGAANTTTCATAGGCCTGTCTGCTCTGCTCCATTTGTAGTCAACAGATATCATCATTTCTTGATAATGGAGTAATGATGCATTGGAGGAAGTACAAGCATATCCGCCATTCTCAGAATCACATTGTCTCTTACTAATTGAATGTTTATTCTTGTTAGGATATGCTGCTCCCCAGGAAGTGAATGTTAAAGAAGAGTCTCCATTCTCTGCAAGAATCAAGTATAGTCGGGTTTGTTCCAAATAAAAGCAAGTTTCATAGTTTTCTCTGTTCTCATACATTTGGACACGTATTTTCAGGATGGAAGATCAACGGGAAGAAAATTCAGCTGGACTTGCCTCAGGTAGTTTAGCGTCTGGCACAAGTTGCTACCCTTAGGATCATTCCCAACTCGGCTCCCATTAAAAAAAGAATAAAGTAGAAATAAATTTTCTCCCAATGTCCTGCAGAGGCAGTAATATATGTATAATGTGTGTGTGTGTATGGAGAGAGAGATGGAGAGAAAATTAGTATACCTTCGGTTTATGCTGGCATATGTTCACTTACTTTCTCTATCATGTCGATTTTGGTTTCAGTTGGAGGTTCTGCTTCTGGTACATTGACAGGAGCTGGAAAGAGGACATCTGGCGTACTCCATAGTAAGGAGAATCATGATAGCATCAAAGTGGAAGGTATCAATTGCTCTAGCATTAGAGCGCAGAAAATAGTGATGCTTACTGTTCGTGCATCATTGCTCTATCATGCATTAGGGTGTTCACTTTAAGATTCGGATATCCATGTACTAGTCTTATAAAGTATGATTATTTAGTACTACTTCTTGTTGAGTGATGCTGTTCATAACTATTTTGAAAGCCAAATATGGCAAAGAAAGTTTTGCAAGTACATGCTTAGTCCAAATTTCTACTTGATTGTGAATGGGAGATTCCATATCATTGCTGTAGTACTTAGATTTGATAATTTCTTTACAGTACACATGGTAACTTTTTTATCTGAGAGAGAAATGCTAAGAGGTTTTTGTTGTTCGACTTTAGGTTGTCCTGCAGACAGGAGTGTCGGAGAGAAAAAGCCTAGAACTGCAATGGATGAGGGCCCTTCTATGACAGAATTGAGTGGTTATAATTCCAAGAGAGAGGAGTTTGAAATTGAATACGATANACAAGATCTTCAGGTTAGATGAAAAGTCTTGCTAATAGCATACTTCCAGAATGATGATCCTCTTTTCTGGGCTCTTTGGAATCTCTTCGGAATGAATATAATACGTATAACACATATTGGAACATTAATAACTCGTAATCATGTTTTGTTACACATTAAAACGTCATGTGCCAGTACTAATATATTGGGAATGTGAAAAACACAAACTCAATGATATGCAAAATTTTAAAAATAATGTTTTATTACTTTTAACACTTGATCTTATAATTTAACGATATACTCGTTAAGCATTTTGTATTAAAATTACAACTTATTTTCTCCTATTTTTGTTACTACCATGCATAAAGTCTACAAGCAAGCTATTTTCCTCAACCATAGGTAGTGGTCTCTTTTCTTTTGTTCTTGTAACGGTGTTGTCCGGACCAGCTTGAACGCACTTCAACTTATCGTAGGATGCCTACTCCTCCCATCAACACAACTATTCGGTCACTTTGTCCACCAAAATTTAGGCAAGAAAGAATCTAGCATATTTTGCGTCTGTTGGGGTTTGAACCCCGGTCTCCTGTGATTTTCATCCCGCTTAAGTAACAGTCGGTCACACCATGGGGTGCTGTAGGTAGTGGTTGTTGCATGGTATGCATTTCCAATTCTTAAAGCAAATAAAATTTGGTGAAAATTAAAGACCCATAGGTTGGCTCAAGCACGTACTTCTGGCATATGTGACAAATTTAAACACTGTATGTAGTGTCTTGTCTATTAAGTTTTCAAGTTAGTGTTAATATTGAAATATTCAGTCCCTGCACCCAGGATGCCCGAGCTGCTGGTTGCCGAACTTCAGCTGAGGCTGAAAGATATATTGAACAAAAGAGAAAGCGGGAAACTGAAGAAAATTTGCTTAGACTAAAGGAGAACTCCCAGAGTGGCCCAAGTGGCAAATATTTGCAAAGAGCAGGTCACTTTAAAGTGGAGCATAACAGCAGCCCCAGAGGAGTTGCTACAGGCCCTGAAATGCTGGATTCTTGTTACAAGGACTTATCATCAACCACTGCACCACATGGTGTTGGAAGTGCTTTAGACGTTTGGGATGTCAGTGGCTTTTTCGGGGCTGAGTTACTCTCAGAAGCTGTAAGAATCTTCTGTTTCTGCTGCCAGATCATTCACCATGCAATCGATTTCATTTGACTTACTATATATACCAGAATGGGGATTGATGTGGCAATTCTGACCCAGAAAGACGATAATTTTCGAAACTTTTTTGTTATTAGCGTATGGCTGCATCCTTTTAATCTTAACCTGCATTTGTGGCAATTGCAAATGCAGGAAAAACAGCTTTGTGATGAGATCAGGATCCTGCCGGCTCATTATCTAAACATGTTGCAGACCATGTCTATGGGGATCTTGAATGGCAACATCACCAAGAAGTCTGATGCTCATGGTCTGTTCAATGTTGATCCGAATAAGTTGGACAAAGTGTATGAGATGCTTGTTAAAAAGGGCATTGCTCAAGCATAATATTGCTACTTCTCAGGTTCAAGCATGATTTCACTACTTTGTACCAAAATGGCAAATGATGTAAGATGGCTAACCTTTTTGCTTGAATTCTTCCAAATTATCTAAAGCTTTACGTTAGAATGAAGGTTGCTGAAGATATTGCTGTTCAAAGGTATCAAGTATTTGTAACGAGAAGAAAAGCCATGCAGTAGAAATCCATTATAATGTTACCATTGTAGATGTGAGAGTCGTAACACTAGTTTTTTACAGTGTTCCCTTAGCATTGTAGTTATTATGGCTTTGAAGAAAAGTAGTGTGTTGTTAATGTTGCTGTTGTTTGAGGCATGCGTATACGTGAAGTTGATACATAAAATTAGATTAAGAATATTTGCTGGTTAAAAGCTAGTTTTAACAAATGTGTCTTTTGTAATGTTTTTTTCCTCAAAACAGTGCAGTTGGATTGAGTATCTATTTTATGCCGTGTTCTTTGCATTTGCTAACCCTGAGGCCTGATGTTAGCATACTGTTGCACTTTGAACGCCATTATACTTATTCTTAATCGGTTTCTACGTTTTGATTTTATAAGCCCCTTTGCTTTTCTATATTCCATATGAATTTAATCTTATTGAAAATAATGGTTAAAAAGTAAGTTTGATAGTTAAAAAAAATGTGCATTTTAGATTAAAATTCAAGTAAATTTATGGAATTTGACTTCATGAGAAGTTTCTTGTTCTAAGTTTCACATCATTAATAAAGATAAGTTGTACAGAGCGACATCAACAGCGAAAATCATATAGCTTACCAAATTTTACTAGGGATTTTTGAGGGCTTGTTGGTGTTGTTATAGCTGCACAGAGTGAATTTGGATCAGTCCCTGAATTAATCATATCCTTCGCCATAAAATAAACTAAAGTTTGTGGATAGTTGAAGAAGAGTGTATCACTCATCCAAGTTAGTCGTAATTAAAACAACAATCTTTTAAAAGATAGACGAGAGATGAAATCTGGTTACACGAAAAGAGAGTATAATATGTTGGTTGTTTAAGCTAACTCAAAATAGCATTGAAATGATATCCCTTACAACACCACGTAGTAAAAAAGGAGCACCAAAAGGAGTGTAGGGTCTATATATATGATACTCCCCTTTATATCCTACTTTAAGATACACTTTCCTTTTTTCAGTCTATTCCAAATTTAAAATAATATATTTCTATATTTAGAAATAATTGTGAAAAAAGAACCTTCGAATTTACGCAAAGTTTTACTATTTGATTTTAGCAGTACTGTAAATATTCTTAATCTTACTGCAAGTTGCGCCAAATGCGGCATGGCAAATAATTATGGGGTTACAGCTTTGCGAGCAAATTCTCAGTACCTGTGGCTTAATGCTGCCTCTATATCCAACATCTAAAATGATGAACGAAATTTATGTTTTAATTTTCTGTAAATTATGTTTCTACCTAATATGATTAGAGACTAGAAGCAATCTAGAAAATACCCAAATTTTGTCTACTGTTTACACAAACATGGTAATTTGGTCTGCATGTCAAAATAAAACTACTAACAGACAAATGACATTGGACTTTGCCCATTGAAGAGATGCTTATTATTGCTTTAAACAAGGATCAGAGTTGGGAAAGGATCGATTTTCGTCTTTTCCTCGTTAATATCTTGTCAATAGCAGAATAATCCGACGATGGATGCACTTCTATTTTATTTTGTATGATAATAATATAAATTGAGCTGAAAGAAAAAAGTGAAAATTTATATACTCGATCCCAATTTATTTGAGATTTAGAGTCCATTTGGATGAGCTTATTTTAAGTGATTTTTAAGCATAAGTCATAAGTTATGAATTTTAGTTTTAGCTTTTGGCTTGTTTTTGTCAGCTATATTATATTAAAAGGAGGGTGGTATGCATTGTGGTCAGTGGTGGACCCAGGATTTTGTGCAAGAGGGTTCAATCTTAGAAGTACATAACTTTAGTCGTAAAATAGTAGTTGTCAAGTGGGTTCAAATAAAATATTTATACAAAATTTACGTAGCTTTAATCCTAATTTATACATATACATAATATTATTTTTTGTGAAGCGGATTCAGTTGAACCCGCTTGCCACCACGTGCGTCCGCCACTGATTGTGGTTAAACCAAGTGGCAAGCAAAAATGAAGCCACTTGGCAATTTTAGGACAACATTAATAATTAAAAATTATAAATAGAAACATAATTAATGAAAATAGTTGAATGAATACTATACATAATCTAAATAGATCTTAGACAAATCTAAATCCACTCATAGATTTTTTTCTATATTAGCTAGAAATATGGAGGTACAAAATAAATTAAAAAACTATAATAGATAAAGATAAAAAATAAAGAAAGACGTAAATTGAGATAATCTATGACAATTTATACTTTAGAGTAAGTTAAAATATAAAATAAAGCTAAAATTTACTTAATATATTAAAGATTTATTGACTTTAGGAAATAAAAAAATTCAAGCAGCAAAATAAGATTTTACATAAAATATATAAATTATTTATAAGGTAAGAAAAAAATTAAATAATCAGAAAAAAATATTTAATAACAAAAATAATAAAGTCATATTAATATTAATAAATCGGTCAAACGAATATTTTATATGTAAATATTACAACAACATTTAGATATAATGTGATCAAATAATTAAGAAAATATTTTTGTATGATTTATATCTGAATTGAGTGCTGTTAGTTTAAGTTTGAAAGCATAACATAATTTTGTGAAAATGCAGTCCAATTTAGAAAATAAAATGATAAGAATTATCTTAATTTGAGATGAGATTTATTTTTTGAAATATAATAAGAAAAATCATATTTTGGAATATAAGCAATAAAGTCAAAGTTACTATTAAAATAATTTTTAATTTTTATCTATATTATATTAGAATGAGTATGGTAGAAATAACTATTAAATTTAAACAAGCTAATAAAAAGTCACATGATAATGTAATAATATTAGGTATTGAATAATATAATAGCAAAAAAAAAAGAATAAATAGAGAAAAATAACTATTCAATTTTTTTATCATAAAAAAAATGGAGTAAAACTTATTTAAATTTGAGATGAGAATTATTTTTATATTATGATAAGAAAGGTCATAATATGGGTAACTCCACATAACTCAAGCCTAATAGATAAAATAAAAACTAGAAATATTGAATAATAAAAATAAATTAGAGATAATGTGAGGATATATAAATCATAAGTTTAGAAAATAAAATAAATTAAATATAATATACGTAAAAATATTATTAACAAATTTAAATAATTTAAAACTTTCGAGCAATATTTTAAAACAAAATAAATATTTATTTTATGATTAAAGAAATTATATATTTATCTATATTATATTAAACCATAGTAGTTGATAATAATATTAAATAAAGTTACAAGTTGATTAAAAGCCACATAAAACGTAATAAGACTATATATTAGAATTTATATAAAAACTAATGAAAATTTATAGTAGGGAAGAGAGTGTATAAGAAAAATAGAGATAGTGTGAGGGTACTTATAGTTTAAATTAATTTAAAAATAAATAAATTAAATAATTAAATTATATTTAAAAATATTACTGATAGATTTAAATGATTAAAAATTTCTAAATAAGAGGATACAATCATAAAAATGTATTAAATTTGAAGATTAAGTTAATTGTTAAGCTAATAAAAGATTATATAATAGTATAATAATATTAAATAATACAATGATTATAAGTAAAGAACAAAAAGAAAAAAGAATTTGCATAAAAATGATGTGTTGAATAAGACATATTTGACATTCAGATAAAAATAAAGTGATAGTAAAAATTTTGTTAAAATAATATAATCTAATGTGCTCACATATCACAACATGACATGTAGTATTACAGCGAAACAAAATACAAGTACTAAAATCAAGGGGTTAGGTTGCTACAGATATAGAAAAAAATAGGTTGTCCACTACGAAATTTGAACAATAAATTCATATCCTACTTTTTAATTAATATCTAATATTTATATAATTTTTATCCGAGAGATTTATATTTTAAGATTATTTGAACCAAATTGACATGATTTGTGTTCGCGTATCACGCGGGTACTAATACTAACTTTAGCTTAAAAATAAATATTTAAAAGTAATTTTTACTTTATCCAAACACTACAAAATGGCTTAAAAGAGATTTTGGTTTAAAAGCACTAAAAATAAATCAATCCAAACGGGCTATTATACTTAATTATAATTATTATTATTGGTGATAAAGATAGACTTCTTCAATTCGGCAACTTCATTAACTTGGGCGTATATTATACTTTTCCGGTAAATTGGGATTTCACCCCCAACAATTTTCTCAAATTGCACTGCAGGCACATTTTCCAAAAATATACGAGCGGTCGCTGAGCTACTTTTATGGGGGTGTCAATTTTAAAAATTACATTGTGTAAATAGGTTATATATATATATATATATATTGAATTTTAGTTTTTGACTTTTTTGTGTGATTATTTTATTATATTTTGAAAATGCTTAATGAAAAATCTGGTTCCCACGGACCATGCAAGCACAAAATCATACTTATTTCTTTTATGTGTCAACTTTTATCTATATATAAACTACCATCTTTCTATTAATAGAAAAAGTTACTTACATACTTATTGAAGTAGAAAGGGAGCATGCTTCACATTAATCATTTGTTTAATTGGAAGTGTAAGGGGGCTCCTTTTACGTGTACACCGTTAGTAAAGCAATAAAATCCAGGAAAAAGAGACTGAAAGGAAAAAGAAAATGGATTTTTTCCATTAGTACACAAGGACATATAGTAGTTGTAAAAAAAGAATTGTCCTATTTCCAATTTCAAACATGTCAAAGTACAATACTCAAAAGAGCAATAAAAGAAAGTACAAAATCTTTCCTTTTAGTATTTCATATTCCCATTGGTAAGGTCCATAAGCAGGGGCTTATAGAATTATCGGGGTTCAACTGAACCCAGTATTTTTGACACGGAATATAAATTTATGTGTAAAAAATTATAAAATTACAATAAATAATAGATATGAATTTATAACTTTAAATGCTGAACCTATAGAACTAAAATCCTAGATCCGCCTATAAGAACACTTTTTCATAAATTTCTTTCATTTTGACGATTCAATCTCGTAGAAAATTGAGTTAAAGCAAAATAAAGGAGTTCTATTTCTTGAGGGGAAAAGAAAAACAATAGAAAAATAAAAAGTATGTAGGGGAACCATAGAGCAACAACAAAGCTATACCTATACGATCAGGGTTCGCACCGTGAAAGCAACCACTATACCTATTTGTCAATGAATTGTGTACTAAATTTTTTTAAATCAAACTACGCAATATTTAGCTAAAATATTAAAGAAAAAATTAATAGAACTATAATTTTATAAATCAAAATTAAAATAATAAAAAGACAACGTTAGAAATTTTA